TTATATTCATAATTTTTATTTAATTTTTTTTGATTTATTATTTAATTACATTTTATTTATTTTAATTTATTTTAATTTATTTCATTTAAATTTTTTTAATATTTTATTTTATTTATTGTGGAGAAGGTCTATTATTATCAACAGCGTTACAGGTGTGAGTCTGCTATAAGACCAGATATTTCAGTCTGCTAAAGAGCGAGTTCCTGTTCCCCGACCATCATCATCATCATCATCCTTTGTTTCTGAATGACAGCTAAATGAAACCATGAAGTCAGTATTTAAAGCGCTGCGGTTTGAGGAGCACTTCTGAGATCAAGCGGATACAACCGAGCAGGAAATGATGGATTCCTGGAGGTGTCTAGACAGCAGATTCCTCCTCAAACCAGAGGAAGTTCTGCTGATTTCAGGAGTGTTATTTGTGGAAACAGCGCTGGTTTTGTTACTCCCACACGGCTGTAACCACAGCAGACGGACAGATGGAGATGTTACAGGCACAGGAAGGACGTTTGCTGAGTACAATATTCCAATATGTTCCAGGAGAACGTTTAGAAACCATACATTTCAAGGAAAGCTTGTCCAAGTCCAAACAGTCACTGCATCATAATATTTATCTGAATATACACATGCATACTTACGTACATAAAGAACATGCAACCACAAACTCGTTTATTAATAACGGCACCAAAAGCTGCATTTTCTTAAACAATAGGCGAATGTACTGATAAAGCCTCCCCATCTCCCACCGTGAAACATTAATATTTGTTCGAGTGTGCAGGGCCACAGGAAGCATTAAAACACAGATCTTCACACCCGAAGCACGAGCACCATAAAATCCACTTTCAGCACAGAAGAAAACAGCTCTGCGCAATAAATGGAAAATGAGCCGTAATACGACTTCAAGAAGCCCATCAGAAAGCCACTGATCATTCTCCAGCCAGAGTGCTGAACTAATTTCAATCTTTAAATTCAATTTATTTAAATTAAATGGCCTCATTTAAATAGTTCTGTGTTAAATTGAATGGAAAGCAAGCGTGGTTTCGATGTCAGGGCTCTTGTGTGTGCGATTACCCATCGACATTCTCTCTATATGCATCCTGTGCTCCCTAGTGAGTGCTGTCTACATGAGTGGCCTTTAAAGGGGACCTACTATCCAAAACTAACTTTAATAAGTGGTTTAAACACAATTGTGTGGGAACAGACTGTGAATATAACCAGCTTCTAATGGTAAACATGTATTTGTATAATCAGACTTGATAAAAGCAGTCTGCAGAAACACTTTGATTGACACTTTCCTTTTGTAAGTGTCATTAAAGGGGGAAGCTCCGCCCACTAGTGCCCATCTCTCCCTCATTAGCATAGACAGCAGCCCTGAGTGAGAAGCAGCCATCTATTAGCCATTAGGGTCCAATCCCAGTTGTGGTCCTGGAAAAATCTGTTTCAAGGGCTATCTAGGGATGTGCGGTGAGGTTTGTGGCTGGTAAAACTCTTTTAAAGTCAGATTTACAAACATTTGCATTTCTTTTATCATATCAGCAATATTTCTATAAACATAGAACAATTACTCGGAAATTTATTCCTGCGCTGCAAGAAAACTGGTCGGGTCCTGTGGCAGACACTGATGCACACGTTTGACCTTTTTCACACAGATAACGCTAGTCCTGTTATATATCTGCCACTATGCTGCCACACAGGCACTTGTGACTCCGCCCTTTTCTGAAAAAAATCTAATTTGCATTTAAAGCAAGTGATGCTCTGTATCATAGCAACCGGCTGAAAAAATAAACTCTGGTCTGCATGAATGCTCACAGCTAAGCGTTTCTAAAAGCGCTTCGGTGGATATGCGGCTATAGTGTGCCATTATTTATGTGCAAACCTGACAAATACAATGATTCCCTCTGAATGCAGTGTAGTTCATGATTCACCCCAGTGCATTCTGGGACTGTCTTCTCAGAACACAATATGATTCCATTTTAGTATCCAACAGAAACGAGTTATCTTAAAATACAGCACCGGCTGCTGCCTATCTTTTGGAACAGGCTCCGCATCATAAGCGCCAACCGGGCCTAAAAATACAGTCTAGGTAGGCAGCACAGCAGCTGAAGGGTACATGTGCTAAAAATGAGACATACATATAAACCGTGAGAAGATGCAAGAACAAAGACAGAAGACGAGGAGAGAGAGAGAGAGAGAGAGAGGGAGGAGGTAATCAGTCAGATAAAGTCATTTCACTGCACCTCCTTCTCCTCTAGTTTAATTATTCAAAGTGGATTAGATCTGCGCTTCAGCTGCCCAACACATCCCAGCCATCAATATTACAGAGAGAAAGAGATAAAACCGGGCGGCGGATATGAACAGAAGACAAAAACGAAGCAAACAAAGCCAAAAGATGACAGAAAAGAGTGAATTCTGTGTCCCAATTCACCTATTATAGGTCCTTAATAGTATTTGAAAATAAAACGAGTGTGTTGCAAGTGATAGTATGTAATATGTGCATTCCAAAGTTACCCTGATGATCTACTGTTTCTGGTGCAGATCTGTGTGTATTCTTTTACCCACAATGCACTGCACGGAGGATGTGTATTTTTATAACAGTATGTTAATGTCGAAGGTTAATGTCCCAAAGTTTGCATACTCTTCTGTAGCACACTCAAAACTATTTACTTTTGATTAAAAAAAGAAAAGCAAATAATTTTGGTTGATGATTTAGGAAGATGAAATGACATTTCGCAAAGTATTGAAACTAGTATTGAAATATAGTGAAATATAAAGGCTAAATAAAATTTTTTTTTTAAAAATGTTTAAGTAAACATTCAATTTAATTAAAACATAAAACTCAAATAAACATTTTTTTATAAAAAAAAATGTATAAAAAATTAAATTAAATTAAATAAAAAACTTAAATAAAGAAATTTAATAAATAAAATAAAATAAAATAAAATAAAATAAAATTAAATTAAATTAAATTAAATTAAATTAAATTAAATTAAATAAAATTAAATTAAATTAAATTAAATCAATTAAAAATAAAGTACAAAAAATTACATTAAATTAAATAAAAAATAAGTAAATAAATCGAATAAAATAAATAAATCGAATAAAAAAATAAATAAATTAAAAATAAATCAAGTTAAATCAAAAATTACAAATTAAATAAAAAAATAAAATAAATAAATAAATAAATAATATAAAATCACCTCCACTTCACATTGAGTAAAGTTTCTCTTCTTGCTTGCTTCTGCCATTGCTTTTTCAATTGGTTTTACCAAAGTGGAGTCATTACCATATTTATAAGGAGACAGGGAGGGGCTTTGCGCTCGTGCACGTGCACTCAGTTTCCCATTATGTCAGATGTATAAAGAGAGTATGCATGGGATTCAGCATATGCAGTGTTCCATGCATCTGATTTTTTGTGCGTACGCAATGTTTTGGTATGAATTCAACGCAAGTCTTCGTACATGAGGGCCCAGGTGAACAATTATTCAATATATCCATCCAGCAGTACATCCTTAAACTGTCTGACGTACACTGCTCTCTGGGCTGACTACTGGAGCTCAGATGCTGCAGTGCATGACACTGTGTGTGTGTAGTCATATAATGTGCAGTTTCAGCGGTATAGTGTGGAAACACCAGAGTGGACGTGGATTGTCCACATGTCATTTTAAAACTAAGAGGTATTACTAGTGTAAACAGGGCCTGAGTGTGTATTTTTCGCAAGTGGGTTGCAGCTGCAATAGTGTGTGGCGTAGGATCGTGATGCCGGCTCAGCATCGTGATGTCCATCGAAAATTAGTAATGGCATCATCTATTAATCCAACCCTATTGCAGAATAACCAAATACTGCAATGTTGGATTTTTCCAATGTCGAGCAGCCGTAGTAAGCAGTGTATCTTTTAAAGAACAGAATGATGGGATAGCACCACTCCGTCAACATGATAAACACACTCTCTGGTCTTATCCTCCACAGGAGATCAGGTTTCAGATGAGGACAGACTTCACAGCGCAGTGATAAACACACACCAGCGTCAGCTTTCAGCGTCCACACAAATCAACACACACACATACACATACACACCCCATCATCATTACAACTGCGTCTCAAATGCTGTTTGCAGAGCATTACTGTGCCACGTGCAGCACCTGTGATGTAATGCGTCCAATATTAAATTAGCATAAGGGGCGTGGCTTGTTTGCATGCATTTGATTCGCTCAGGATGAAATATGAGGATTTTTTCCTATTTATTTTCATAAATGTTGCATGCAAAGAAATTTAATTTCATGTTTACATTTTAAATAAGAAGTCTGAGGGGGGAAACTATGCATTATGAGTGCAATGCAAATACTTATGCTAAAATAAAATGTATTAATTTCTTGCCACAAACGACTTTTATTTTATGTCGGACATCCTTAAAATTGGTTTGATTTTTAATTGCATTAAATATTTGTATAATATTACAAACCATTTGTATTTTATCCCTTAAAGCACAACAGTGTGATCACAAGTGAGTGTTAGTTTTAGGATGCGTCTCTTACCTCAGACATGTTCACTCGTCCCTCTTGAAAAGAGCAGTCGTTTGCGTTCTGAGTGCACAGATGTCTGTATTTACACCAGTGGCATGGAAAAGAGCCGTTCACACACGACAAACACCTGAAGAACAGAAAAAAACAGACTTGGTCAGACACACACACACAAGAAATGCATATAACATATACATGCGTCCTTCACTTTGACCTCATTCACTCTCATAGTGCACGTGAAATAATCCCTCGTTCCCTTCAAACATCCACTTTATTATGTGCTTTAAGAGGGAAGGTGAGGGATGACAAAAGAGAGAGAGAGAGATCAAGACGAGACCGGGATTTCCCATTAAAACATGAAGACTGTAGATAGAAGAGAGAAGCTCTGCATACAGTCTACTTAGACAGCTGCCTGCAGAGGACACCACGGTGACTAAAGTAATGGTTCTAGACCAGGATGATAACTGCATCAATAACAATGAAAGTAATTTTTATACAATTGGTACAATCGGTATGTATTCATTATCATTATTATTATTATTGTTTTTTTATTATTATATGGTATGGTCTTTAATGGTATTATTATTTCAGTTATTATTATTATATTTGTTATATTTGTTATATATATATTTTTATTATTATTATTATTATTGTTGTTGTTATTATTATTATTATATTTGTATTATTATATTCATTATTATTATTATTATTATTATCATCATCATCATTATATGGAATTGTCTTTAATGTTATTATTATTATTTTATTTATATTTATTATGCTCATTATAATTATGATCTGTATTTCTATTATTAATACATTTATTTGTTATTTATTATTATTATTATTTTTATTATTATTATATGGTATTATCTTTAATGTTATTACTATTATTGTTATCTCAATTATTTTATTATTAGTAGTAGTTGTTGTACTATTATATTATAATTATGTTTATTTATTGTTATTTATTTATTTTTATTATTATATTATATTTATTAATATTATTATTTTATCTTTACTATTATTATATTATTATTATTACTATCATTATTACATTTGTATTATTATTATTACTATTATTATATTCAGTTATTATTATTATTATTATTATAACTA